TTTACTTTACGTAAATGTATACACTGACTACAGCAGACTACAGTAAATGCCCATACAGCACCGAAAGTTTTCAGAAATATCTCAGAAATATTTCAACTGAAAAGTGAAACATTTCATAAAAATTATGAAACATGTCTGCAACATTTCTGAGACAGCTCTGGAATAGTAAATGTCCGCGATTCTTGCACATGAAACCTTGTTGAAAGATTGATGAAATATTACAGAAAAAATTTGCAATCTTTTTGAAATATTACCAAAAAATTTTCAGCTACATTTAATACTTCAAAAATCATATTTAAATATATACTTGATTGATATTTAAATAATATTTAAATTTATTATGTCGACATAATAAATTTAAATATTATTTAAGTATCAATTATAAACATATATTTAAATCATATATTTAAATCATTTTACTTAAAATTTATTAAGAGTTTTATAATCTGTTTACAGATTACAAATTTGTTAAAATAAACTTAAAGTATTTTTCAAAAACGGTAATTATATCCCCAACACACTATTTTGATTAATTAATCACATTATATGTATAAGCACATATACATAATCATCATTAGAAAGATAGAAAGTCACTTATATCTGCAGTTTCCACACAATATCATTATTCATATACAAAAATTTTTCGCAATTAAAGTAGAACAACTCACGATAACATCAAAATGACATTAAACTGAATCGCGATTGACTTTTAGTAAACATTTTAAAGACATTTTAACATCATAATGGTTTTTTGTTCTGTTTAAATATTTTTCAATTTATTGTATATGATAGGTTTTAGAAACATTTCTATTAAAACATTTCATATGACATATTGCAGAATTCTTTCAAAATTGTTGCACATGAGATTTGAAAGGTTGAAACATTTCTGAAAATTTTCCGCAACAATCGGTGCTGTATAGGTGTATACATTTACTGAGTTAACACTTTGACTATGGAAAGACAATCCAATAAAAAAAAAAAAAAATGCTTACTGTTAACTGAAGATTAAGGATACAAAACTTTATAAACATAATCTTTAAAGATTTTGTGAAAATGAGGGATAAAATATTTTTAAAAAGTGATTTTTTTTTAAATTATTAAAAAACGTCAATTTTTTATTTTATCATGGTATCATATAAACGGAAATAAATATCCTACTTTTTTCAAAATACGCGTCTTAAAAATGTCCACAAATTCCATGCCACAAGTTTAATCGATAAAATTATCATTTATGAAAAGAATGTGTCGTTGAAATTAAAGAAAAAAATCTCGTTGTGTGTGATTTTCGTCAAAACAAAAAAATTTTGTTAATTTTTTATAATCTGTAATAAAATTATTTCTTGGTAATTTTTTTGTGCATCATTTTTTCACAAAATCTCTTAAAGATTACGCCTAAAAAAATTTGTTTACCGTACTTTTAATCCTCAAATAATAGTAAACATTTTACTAGAAGTTCTTTTTTCTGTACGTAAAGATTCTATAATTGAGTATAATCATGCGTCATCTTTTTACTCGTATTCTTATTTAATTTTCAACTTGCTTGTGTATCACCCAACTTTCTAATTTCGAATAATTTTGCTTCTTACGAATTCAAAATTAAATTGGAGATAAAGAGAAGAGGGGAAGAAGAGAGAAAGAAAGGAAGAGGGAGAGGGAGAGGTGAGGGAGGGAGAGAGGGAGGGGGAGAGAGAGAGACACATAGCAATAAACGTAAAATTACTATCAGCAGTTTGTTCGAGTCTCTTGATCGTAATGTTATACCATACTTAAGCTACTGGCATAGAATCCTGAGACAGTTGTCTTCTTGTACCAATTTTTATGGTTTTCTACAGCTGTTTTCTTTTTTTTCTTTTTTTTAGTAAACATACGTGTAACTGGGTGTATTCAAAACGACAACTGCTCACTGAGCGCTCAGTGAGCTCTTTCACTTGATTGGCATATTCCATTAGATTTTAAAATATAGAGCAATCAGATGAAAGAGCTCACTGAGCGCTCAGTGAGCAGTTGTCGTTCTGAATGCACCCATTGTATACCTCCTTTCTTAAATTTCAAAACGTACACAACATAGTTTGCGTTTCAAAGCGCGTTTAAAATAATTGAAATTTCGGTAATTTAAGCCTTCTTGTTTCTTCTTAGATAACTATAGCTATAAAAGAAGAATTGATAATAACGATATAAATTGTTAATTACAAAGTCAAGGAATATATTCGTTTGAAATAAATTAGTTCCATTTGGTCATACGCCCTGCATACTGGCACTTTGCCCGTTATACATACAAAAGTAACGAAAGCGTATCGTAGTTTTGTAATATACATGTTTAAAACCTAATTCGCATGTATTAATTTGCAAAAGAGAAAAACTACTTCGAGCGTCCTGACTCGATGACAATGTATAATATTTCTTCGTCGCTTTTTCATTATTTTTAGAGTTATCCTTAATTTCTCGATATACATTGCACTTAAACGTATTTATGTATGTGTAGTTTGTTATACGTCTAATAATTGCCACAGGCTGTAATATGTTCTTTTCCCTATTTTTACTAGCATTTTCAAATAGGATCCGCGCTAAGAGTCTATTAATTGGTGATTATCCTTCGATTCAAGAATGTCAAAAGACAATACTCTCCTGTTCTATTTCCAGTTGGGGTACACACGCGATATACACACGATAAATTGTATTTCTGCCGCATATTCTCGACATGATGACATCACGTATGCCTATAGCGCATATAAATGAGTGCAACGTCCTTAACGTTCTTAACAACTACTTATTATCAGCGGGAGCTCGTGACACGATTATTCTATTATTCACACGTCGGATAATACCATGCACATTAGTGCGTATGACGCGATAGAAAACGATTAATCATAAGGCATCGAATTGATTTGCTCTCCGTCTAATTCGTTACCTCGTTAAACCGGGAATAATAGCGCAGAGCGAACTTATGAAAGCGAGAAAGCAATAACGTAAGCGATACATACTTAAATCTTTACCTTTTTGTTTTTTTACTTGACTTTGTTTTTTACTTGATTTTGTACAAGAAAATCGACTAGCTAGCGAGAGAAAGAGAGAGAGGGGTGGGAGAGAGGGGAGAGACGGAGAGGGAGATATAGAGGGGAAGGAGAGATAGGGGAAATAAAGGGGGGAAGCTATCGTCCACATTAGAGACCCTTTAATCAGAGATTGGCCATAAGGATTTCGTCAAATTTCTCCAAGCGAGAAAGTAGTATAGGCTATCTCACTCTTCCACCAATAGTGATGTGTATACATCATGCATACACACTGCTATTGGTGGAAGAGTGAGATAGCCTATACTACTTTCTCGCTTGGAGAAATTTGACGGAATCCTTATGGCCAGTCTCTGATTAAAGGGTCTATAGTCCACATGTGTACGGTAAAAAGGAAAGAAAAAAAAAAGAGATGCGTTTCGTAGTGCTCGTGACCAGTGGTGATGGGAAATTGGCCCCGTATAACACGGAGAATCAGCCCCTCCACTTTTGCTCCACCAAGTAACGTCGCGCTCGGCCAGCTTCGGCGCTGAACGAGCGAAGCAACGATAGCACTGAAATACTGAACAGCAGACTAGCCTTTTCGCCTTTGACGCGCTAAGAAATGAAACAGCGAGAGAGGCAGATAGCCTTTTCGCTCTAGTTGCTTATTTCCAAGCGACTGAAAAGCGAAAATGCTTTCTCGGCAATCTCGGCATGTATCTGTAAGGCAGAAAGGAATATTCTAGATAACGTATAAGTTTTAATAAATTTAATAATCATATACCCCTCCCATTAACGTATAATAGCAAAAATGATTTCAAAACGCAACAATTTATGATATTAATTGTTTACGATTTTCTATGTGAGTTATATACCGCGTTTATAAATATGGTCTTTCTATCAAATTATTTTAATTTCAGCGATGTATTCAAAGAATGATGTAAATTGATTGATACAATATACATCAAAATGATTAATTAGTCTGCTGTTCAGTATTTCAGTGCTATCACTGCTTCGCTCGCTCAGCGCCGAAGCTGGCCGAGCGCGGCGTTACTTGGTGGGGCAAAAGTGGAGGGGCTGATTCTCCGTGTTGCGCGGGGCCAATTTCCCATCACTGCTCGTGACATTATAAAAATCGCGCAGTTATTCCCGATGTAACGTTAGTTAAATATACTTATACGTTCGTAGCTGCTATTTTCGTCTAAAGTCGAAGGTATGTACGAGATACATTAAATTGTTAAAATTTTATTGCTAGTTAATTTGACTGAGATTCCAATTTTGTTGCATATAAATTGTTAAATCATTATTATCAAAATAAAGAATGACAACTATCGAAAGAAATAGATATGGCATCGCAAAAGCGAGCTTAATGATACAATGGTTCTCTCGTTTTTTCAAGTGTATAAAGTATTTACAATAATTTTCCATTATATTAATAATAGACTTTTCCATAAAAAAAATGTATCATAAATTACATATAAACTCTTAAAAATCAGAAAATTATAGAAATGCACTAGTGCATTTTTTGCAAAGAAAATTTGCTGCGGTTTGTGTATATATGTATATATAAAATCACGCAGCGCGCCAGTGTACATTACAAAATTGTTAAAAGCGCATGATATCACTATACTTGTTTGACTCATATATAACATCAAGTATGCATAATTATATTGCACGACGGTAAGACAATACCGCGAAATATAATTTTCCATTTCAAAGATCAAACACAAGTACTGCGTATCTGTAAAGTACGTTATAAATATATAACTATATATGTTAGGCTCAAATCTAAACTTAAATTTTTCGATTTATTATATATCAAATAACGGAGTTTCGAAGATTAATAACTTTGGATTCGATCGACAAGTCAATGTAGTCAACATAGTTGAACGGAGCGATTATCAAAATGCGTTCTCAACGATAGAAAGATAGATAAAGAATGAAGAAATATATAAACATATAAGAGCTCAACATATATACATATATATATATATACACACTATAGGGACGCGTACAGGTATACATATGCATATGTATAATACATATCAAATTGATCGTTTTCCTTAAATATGTACTAGATACATACCGTTTATCTAAATCTTCGTAAAAGTTAAATAAATTTATGAATCATACGATGACGATCCATGATCATGGGCAGGACTCGGTGGCGTTGATGGATTTGAGCTATTGTTCGAAGCTATAGAGTGTCTAGGGCTGCCACCAGATGGATGCTCCTATATAAAAAAGATATGTTACATACATGAATATATATTTTACACGCACGCACGTACATGTACATATATTTTGCTCGTACATAAATACACGTTTCATAATTACAAAATGTGCTATCTATTTTTAAGATGTGCTATCTATTGTATGAGCATGTAAATAAATTCAATAGACAAATTAATCCTTTGTGTTGCAATGATAATTAATCATAAGTAATACACAAAGAAACATAAAGTGAATGTCTCTATTTCTATTCATTTAAGACAAATTGAACCAAAAACAGCAATTTAAATTATTCTTTTATGTAACAATTAACGAAAAAGTGTGATTACTTATCACTACACAAACTGTATTATACAGGGTAGGCCATTTTAATCAATATACGCGAATATCTCGTCAAGTAAGCAAGGTAGCGAAAAATGTTTCAGACCAAAGTTGGAGGTTGTTCTTATTTTCATTTTTACACTAAAAATTCATTTTAACGTAAAAATGAAAATAAGATGTACAACTTCCAATGGCCTTGATCTTAACAAATGTTATCTATTATAGTTCATGATCTTAAACAACATTTAAGAGGTTTTAGCTGTCGGTTAGACACCTTGAATGATGCTAAATGTCGAAGGTATTGTAACTTTCGAGCATCATAACTAAAAAAGTACTTGATGAAAAAATATTTTATTATAATGTTTTGGAAAGCTCTCGAGGTAAGCTACAAGAATATGCAATAAAAAATAAGGGTTTCCGTTTAAGAAATTGAAGATAACCTTCTCTCACCTGAACTTTAAGCAACTATTCAAGGTCAAACTAATGACACCATCTTAGGTCCTCCTCAATACAACTTTGGTTTGAAACATTTTTCGCTATCTTGCTTACCTGACGAGATATTCACGTGTATTGATTAAAATGGCCTACCCTGTATATTAAATATGAAAAAAATATCATTTTAAAGGCTTTTGTTATGAATAATCGTGAATTAAACACAATGCATAAAATGTACATTTCTACTCAACAGAAATCGCGGTGTCCACATATCTACTCATTATGTGTCCCTATTTTTAAAGACACAAAAATTTTTCGTGGAACGATGTAGAGTTTGTTTAGTGGTTAGACAAAATCCGAATCGCTAGTGCTTACGCAAATCAATAGCGCCATGATTGAAGTTGCTAAAAACGACGACTGCTCGGATATAAATTCATTTTTAAATACTGCTATCTGGCGAGTAGTAAGCCTATGCAACTTACGCGAGAGTATGCAAATTATGTATAATTAATCTTTCTGCAACTTATTCTATCAGCTGAATATTTATATTAAGAAGAAAAGTTCATAGTGAGTAGAAATCGGGACTTGAGTAGAAATAGAGACATTCACCTTATTTGTGTAAAAATAATAAATTACCTTGTTATGTAAAGATGCAATACTGCCGAGAGAGAGCGGAGTGTGTGAACGCAAATGTAATGATTCAGAATCAATTTGGTCCACCGGAGTGCGCGGTAAGGAAGGAGGCGTGGCAGTTGGTCTTGGTGGCGCAGGACCTCTTCGTGATGTTGTCGAACCTATATACACATTCATCTGATTAAATTCGATGCAAAAATTGAAAAATACGATTTCCACATATACAATTTCATTTGTAATATTAGGCATATATGAGAAAAACGAATTTGTTAACGTGTTATATGTATATGCTTTATTATTTTATTAATTTACCGTTGTGCGGCGAATATCCAGAGTTTCTTGACATATGCGAGCTCAGGCGACGTGCATCAGAAGGGGGATGCCTAGGAGGCAATGGTGCTGGTTTGTTCGGTGTTTGAAGCGTAGTATCATATAGCTATAAAGAAAAAAGTTAAGTGGAAAGAGAGGTCGCTTATGTATTTGTTTACCTTGTTAGAATTAGGAAAAAATTGCGATTTATTAAATACTAGAAATTAAATGCCTATAACGGTCGAAGCTGGATCTATTCTTAATGCTTAAATAATACAATGTGAATTATATACAGTACTGGACAAAATAAAGTACGCACTCCAAACATTTTCACATTTATGTAAATAACTCGTCTAGCCTGGCAGACAGCATAATGATGAATGAGGTAAAAGAAAAGTATTTTAGTCTACTTTGCGATAATGATTACAAAAATTTCAAAAACAATTCGAAATCCTTTAATAAACAAGTCCGTTACATTTATTATCAAATTTATTATGGAAAAAATAAAGTACGCACAACATTGTTTATGAAAATAATAACTGGCCCTGTTGATGATGAAAGATACATAAATATAACAATGAAGGATATATAAACAAATGAATAAAGCAGGTTTGTCAGTTAATAATATTGCTAGATAGAGTATAGTAAGAATTCTTCATCAGTGAATATGGAAACCAAGCAAATTTGTTTGCAAATTCGAAAACTGATAATTCAGGATTGTCAGAAGGGGCTTTCTAATAGAAAAATCGGTCGCAAGTACAATGTGAGTGAAGGCGCAGTCCGAAAGATATGGAAAAAATTCCAAGAGCTTGGCACAGTAGCGGATAAGACAGGACGTGAACGGAAGAAAAAGACAAATCCAATCGAAGACCGCAGAATCATACGGAAGTAAAGAAAAATTCAACTGTTACTAGTCGTGTTATTCGAGAAAACCTACAATTAAATATTTCCGAACGAACGGTGCGGAGGAGACTTCGAGAAGTTGGACTTAGAAACAGTTTTGCAGTGCGTCGTCCTTTGATT